ACAGTAAAGTAACTAGCCAATTGTTTAAAATGTAAGAAGTTGAAAGTACAGATATTTGTGTCAAAATGTAAGGAGTTGAAAGTACAGATATTTGTGTAAAAATGTAAGGAGTAGAAGTAAAAAGTCGCCATAAAAATAAGTAGTAAAGTAAAGTAAAAAACTCAGAAAAATCTACTTGAGTACAGTAACGAAGTATTTGTACTTCGTTACTTCCCATCTCTGATCACATGCATATCCCTTACAAATACCCTTAATTTCAATAGGTAAATAAGATGATTTGCCAATTGAATGAGCTTCAAAATAAGATTATTAGATAATATGCACTTGAAATAAGAAAATGTAATCATTTTTTTCTTATTTCAAATGTAAATTGTCTTGTTCCATTGCCAAAGCATCTCACTTACCTCAATTCAAGACTGACTGCACTTATTTTAAGAAAAAAATACTTATTTAGATTTACATTTTTTGCAGTGTAACAGTTATATTTAGTGTTATAAATTAAACCAATTAATTGCCAGTATCCGCATTAATGCCTCTAAGGGTATGCTGTACCAAAAAATTTGTTTCTTTCACTCACAAAGTGTTTTTCATTAGTTTCTTATAGAAGCACTTTTGTTAATTTTTCTTAATATATTCGGGCAAGTTGACTCTTCTTGACATAAATTTTTGCCATCAAAATATCCATATTTTTTTAATGTAACAAAGGAAATCAGGTCAAGAAAGAAAGAAAGAAAGAAAGAAAGAAAGAAAGAAAGAAAGAAAGAAAGAAACATTGCTGCCATTCTTTCACTTCTTACACACATTTGGATTAATCTTTTAAATGAGCCTCTTTTGGGATCAACTTTATGAACAGTAGCCAGTTTGTAAAAATACACAGCTTGGTTTGGTTACACACAGAATTCTGCAGATTCTCCTAAACAGTTTTATATTTGGCAACATTGTTTTTAACGTTGCTAATCTGGTAGGCAGATGCACTAAATATGAACATGTCGAATCTCAAATTGTATATATTATTAGCAATTTGTCTATCGCTTAGTTATGTTTATCTATTGGTTGTTTTGTTTTTTGTTTTTAAAGCTGAATTTGAAGCAATGGTTTCTGGGATGAAATGATTCTCCATCCTCACTCTACCTTAATATCTGTTTTCCTCTGGCCTCTTGCTCTGCCTTAGACCTGCACAGCTCTGCTGTCTCTCCCCAGCACCAGCCTCCGTGCTCATCGACATCCATATAAGAGCAGAACATGCAGATTTTGGCGCTGAGCAGCAGGCAGGGCTGATGCTTGGCAGACGAGAGGAAGGCAGATCTGGATCTAAACAGGGAATTCCAGAGTAAATGTTTAAGGAGGGAGTGAGAATGTAGGTCCCAGCTGTGCAGCGTTAGTCTCTCACATAACCCCAGTCGTTATGTGTGCATTCTCCCCGTACTGTATTTATTTATTTTTGCATATACATGTTTGTGTCAATGTATGGGTGTCCTGCTTTGCAGATTATCCCAGACAGAGGAAGATCTAGTTAAAGGCATGTCGACTCCGAGCCAGATTCAGCATCTAAGGTATTAATTATTACAGGCTTTTTGACTTTCAACCCTTTCTCTTTAATATATACTCATAATGGCCTCAAGGGATATGCAGAGAAATATGCAGCTCCCTTATGAGCACTAACTTACGCAACAACATTGCAAAGGAAAATATATTTTGCATATACAGACTACCTGCCTTATCCCAACACTTAAATCTCAACATTTTTATTCGGTTTAAAAACAAACTGTTTGTCTAGTAGCCCTGCTGACAGATTTGCACATATAATTACATTCTATTTTTAATTCTCCAGCAATCTCTTGATAATTGCAACTGTTTTAGTCACTTTTAGATTGTTGGACAGACATTAGAAATGATCAAAATAGTCAGAAATAAATCTATTCATATAAAGATTTTAAGGATATAAGTCAATTAGTGTTATAAAAGTAGACATTATAAAGCAGTTACTAAATTAAAAATGTTTATAATTGAAAAACAAGAATAATAATTGACGCATTCTTGCTTTTCAAAGGTCAGCCATACATTAAAAAAGCAAACTATTGTGTGTAGAAGCCTCACTTTTTTCAGTGTGCCCCAGGGTAGCTGTGGCTGCAATATAGCTAGTGTGTTAATGTGTGTGTGAATGGCTAAGTGACTCAATGTAGTATAAAGTGCTTCAAGTTCACTGACTTGAAAAGGCACTATATAGGAACAGACCATTTACCCTTTGCAAAGCCTATTATCCAGATTTCCTGATCAACAAAGCAGATTAGTTATTTAACCAAAGCCTGCAAAAAAATGTATGTGCAGGCTGGCCAAGGTTCTATGGGGCCTCATTTTTTTCATTTGTGGCCCCTCCTATTCCATTTTACTGAGCATAAAAAGAAATAAACAATTAGTTCAGATTAAATTGTGATGAAATTGATTTCATACACAAAGAAAGTGTTTTAACTGTGCAACATATCCCTAAAACAATTATGTTTGTCACTTTAATAAATAATAACTTTAATACGTAATCTTGCCAATTCCTTTAATTTTTAAGATATAAATAATCTTTGATTAATCAATTCTGAAATTATCAAATTAAATTTGATGCCGTTTTTTGTTTTCTGTAAACATTGATGCTGCTGGGCCCCTAAGGAGAGGCTTGGATCACTTCTGTCTTGCGTACGTATGTCTATTTACGCAATTTAAGCAATCTGTTATCAGTACATAGATATTCAGAATAGCTTGGTCACAGCAGGACAAAAAGGACTGCATACATCTAGACTGAATTCAGATCTCATGCATGGAGAGTCCGGTGACAGAGGGTCAAGTGTGGGGCCCAGCCTGTAAACTTGTCTGCCTGTTTTGACAGGAAACGACAGGTGCAAGTCAGCAACCGATGACTGTGCAGACACGAACGTTCACACGTAGACTACAAAAACAAAACTGTGGTGAAATGATGTTGGAACAACACGCAAGGCACCCCCACCACCACCCCAAACACTCACACACAAGTAAGATCAGCTGCACCCGCATACCGCCAAACAACTATAATCTGCAGCTTGGAATGCTAAGACCCCTGTGGTTACTTGAGACACGAGGAAAGGGAGACTGAGTTGGGACGCAATGTTAAGTCCTCAAATGGAAGATTGCAATAAAAATTTGCCTATGTGTTGGCAGAGACTATAAGATGGTGCAATTGTTGATTTATTTATAGTTATTTAATAAAACATTATGGTTTTATCTCTAAATGGTAACATTTCCTTGTCAAAGTGCATCAAGCTTTGCAAATTATACCAACACCAATCGGATAAAGTTTAATCTTTATTTGAAGCTTTGTAAATTATTATATTTCAGATGCTAAATGTTCTGAAAATGACAGAAAGAGATACCTGGTCATTTGGATTCTGTCAAACTAAATGCTTCACTCCTATAGTGTGGAAAACCTCAGCCAAATTAAGCAAAACAGTACTTACAAATGAATAGGCCTCCAATAATAAAGGGAGTTAATTTGTCCTTAAAAGCGATCCAAATAGACCCTTAGTTGCTTGGTGGGATGGTGAGGAGACAGGAGCTGCAGGTGTGAGTAGAAAAACGCAAACGATCATCTACCATGAAGCAGGTCCAACCCAAGCAGCAGACAAATATAGCCTGGGTGCTTTCCCTCCGGTGCTCTGCTGGACCGGGGAGAAATAAATCTGTCCAGGAACAGCCGAGAGGCCCAGAACACAAAGGGGAGTGGGCTAAAGTAGAGAGAGGTGAGGTGAAAGGGGCAACAAAAAAAGGTAAACAAAGAGGGATGCTGTAGTTCAATCCTTAAATATTCCAGAGGTTTAAAACAGCTGCCCTGATGTTGTCCTTTCCTGCAGACAAAGTTTGGTTAACCTGTTCTTATGGCGTTTAGATGGATGTAACACTGCTTCCATTTGGTTTGGGAACACATCCCAAAATTGTTGTGGTAACCTCATCCCACAGCAACCATGTATGGACTGAAGAGAGCAGGCGTAATGGAGGAGCAGCTGCCATAAATAGCCAGGAAGCATCGGACCTCCAGCGCAGGGGGGATCGAATCAGCTGTTGTGGACAACACATTTTCTGCTCCTGCAGCATAGGGACCAAACCCTTCATGCTTGATGCATTGGATAGCTTGTTTAAATTTCCACTTTGATTTATTGACATCATCCTTTTAAAAACAATGTCTTCATCCCACTATATGGTGCATAGTAGACATTGTTTTCTTTAAAAGGACACGACTAACACAAGCAGACGTTTAGAAGGCATGTGAAAAAGATTCTCTGCATTTAGCTTCACTTTTAAGTTTAGCAAAAAGGCAGATTTTGCATTCTTTTATGTTCTTCAGTGAGAGTCAGATAGTAGATCTACCAATAAATCAAGAGCTCTGCTTTTTGGCTCAGCTCCTTCTACACCAGCTAATCTCTCCAGCGCTTACTGTACTGCACACAGGATCCCTATCAACCAATCGAAACTCTGTAAATCACCTCGGAAAAAGTCACGCTCAAAATGGAACCTGACACTGAGAATGCAGACCACCTTTTTACTAGTTGGAAACAATGACTGAAAGAATGATATCCTGGATAGAATCAGCTAAAATAAGCTTTATTGGTTGACTGGATCTTGGTTATAGGATATGGACACTCATTATTTAAGGGGAGATTCAGCTGAGGTGGTACTGGCACCTCATTTCAAGGTTTTTCTTGGTCTTCAACAAGAATTTGCTTGGAATAAAATTGTGAAACAAGAGAATACATTGCAAAAAATCAACACATTTTGACATTTTCTGTTGGTGGGCTGTTGTGGTGCAAACTGAGCAGATTTAATTCATCATCAATGTAATAGAGCTTTTACTACTAGAGAGGCAGTGAATATTTCAGATATTCCTAATCTACTTGGATTTTGGTTGAAATAAAAAAAAATCAATAGTAATTGCTTTCCGTAGTAATAGTAAGAGTGTTCTGACCAGCTGTCTCACTGTATGCTGTGGAGGCTACAGCGCTGGCAAGTGGAAGAAGGTGAGAAGAGTGGTGAGAAGAGCTGAGAAGATCAGCGGGGCTCCTCTTCCCTCCATAAAAGATATTTCATTCCAGCGCTGCGTGTCCCGAGCCTGTAACATCATCAGTGACCCCTCACACCCCCACCATGGACTGTTCTCCCTGCTGCCCTCTGGGAAGAGGCTTTGCAGCATTCGATGGACCTCCAGCAGATTCCAAAAGTTTCTTCCCCACTGCCATCAGACAGATGAATATTGAAAAACTCTCTACATCATGTCACAGATTCTGCATAACATTGAACATATCAATGTGGTTTTTTTTGCATCATTTTTTTTTTCTCCCACAATGTTTCCATTTGATCACTGCTGCACTAAAAAAATGGAAATGTCATGAGAGCTGTATAAAATTAAATTAGTCTAAGTCCAATTAATGGAAATGTATTCACAAGAGCTGTGGAGTTCAGTCTTTGTTTATGCTTAACCTTTAGATTGATTGACTGAAAGAATAGAGGATCAAACCAGTTGTCACTGCTACATGATAACATTTAATTTATTTACATGGCACACCACAATATTATCACCTTTGCAAATTCAGTATTATTGAAACCTTACAACTTACCTGAGTATGCCACAGACTAGGTTAATCTCTTAATCCCCTTTATGGTCCTACTGCATGTTGCACCTAGAAAGTTCAAAAAAGTTAACTTAAAATGGTCAGAATGTGATCATGAGTTCACGTACTGGTCCAAGCAGTGCCCATCCAAAAAGGCCCTTTAAGATGTGGAAGGATATAGTCACATCTTATATATTCAGCAGATACAGAAGCCTCTGATGCTATCATGTCATTATCGACAAAAACACTTAATGAACTCAAAAGAATTAAACTTCTTGTTTAATATAAGCTGCCAACGGAAATTAAGCTCTGAAAACAAATGTTTTGAAACCTGGTGAAACCAAAATGAACCTTTTAAAATGGCCAGTCAGGTTACAGTAACAGCTTTGGTAACAGATTACACAATATTTTAGCTTTATTTATTAAGTGTGCATTGCAGTCATAAAGCAGTTAGATTATTGATAATGAGGTATTGATAATGTGAAATCAGATGAGCAGGTGAGTTATTAAAAAATGCAACAAAAAAAGGATCTTGACTTTTTTTGTGTTTTGTCTCCCTCTGGTGGTATTACAACAGAACAGCAGCAGATGTCTGAATATTTGTTCTTTCTCATTCCTCTAGTATTTGTTGAACAGTTTGGTGTATTTTAAATTGAGATATGGCAATTATCAATATAATCAGTGTATGGGTTGTTTAGGTAGTTTTATTCACATTTATTGACCCGATGATCTCTGTTCTTAGATAAAGATTTTGTTGAATTATAATGTTCTGACTTCTTATTTTATATCGCTTTATTCTCTTTTAACTGGATTTGTGTGTTTTTCTCCCAAACATCTACTGGTTTATAGAAGCATTAATGGGGTTTCTGAGACAAAGTTATGACAGACTTGAGGTGTTACTGGACATAGATATGACACAGCAGTGATGTACAGACAGCTGGGAATATATGTTAGGGAAACCTGCAGACCAGAGGATAAACTTCTATGCAAAAAAGATAACAATAATAAAAAAAAAATAAAGTGGGAAAAATGCAGTTACTTGCAGGCATTAATGTGAACCTGGACTGACCTGGTTTTACCATCTATTACGTGACAGGGTTGTAATCAAAGTAATGGCTTAGGAGCATATGTGCTTGAGCTCAATCATATGGTGCAGAATAAGCCCCACATTCTCAGCAAAATTCCAGCAAATATGTGTGAGAGAAACATTTCTCAGAATCAGAATATGACAGAAAGAGGCCTAAAATTGTGGATTATTAATGTCAGATTCAGCATAGTGGGGCCAAAGGTCAAGTTTTAATAACTGCTCTGTCCCTCCTTAGCTAAAATAAACACCAAAAATAGTGATTCATGTCTTTTTACACTTTTCACTCTAAGCATGTTTTTAATGGCACACCCTAAAATCAGACTGGTCAATACAACAAACTTTACTAAAATGGTTGATTGTTTTTTTAAACAATCTATAAAATGACCAATACAAACTGATCACTTTGACCAAAGTATAACGGCATTAAAAGCCAGAACTGGGGCTTGAACCATCAACTCTACTGTTGCAGAACAAGCTCCTGCTTCCATTATCACTATCCCTGCTACTTCCCACCCAGAAAAAATTGGTTGAAAAGCGACATGATTTACTTCCAAACTACGTCTACATTAGGTTGAAAAGTGAAATGTGAAAAGTCGTCATTTTAAAATAGTTGAAAAGATGATGAAAATTCAATGTCTTTTGAACGTCTGTTTTTGGTCTTAAACGGGACAAAATCAGACCGACCAAAAACAGCCCAATTTCTGGACTAAATCAAGACTATGATGGACCGACCAGATCTAGCCTAAAAACCAAGGTCTAAATGACGTCTGGTGTTTTGGGGGTTGGAGTTTAATACTAGTTCATTCTGATGTTTCAACTACTGTTGCACCGATTGCATTTTTGGTCTCGATTCCGATACCTGGCTGTGCAGAGTCAACCGATAACGTTACCGTACTGATACCATCTGCTTGAAATTGATGTGTGTGCATATATGTGAAGAACTGCATACTACTTGGATGTAAAATAATTGCCATCAAAAGCAGGAAAACGACTAATACAAAGTGAATCCAGTAGAACTTTCTAATGCCTACCTGGAATGGGTGACAAAAGTTAAATAAACTTTTGGCTCTTAAAATGGTATTGGTGCCCTATTTGTCGGTAATCGCCAATACCACCATTTTAGTGCTGTATCGGTGAAACACTAGTTACAACCAAGGTAAAACCCATGATTAGCATGTTGTATATGTACAAATCACTGTAAATGTTGGCTAAGTCCACTTAACTAGAGCCAAACAGTCAGATCAGTAAACCATCAGTTAACATTTTTAGTGGTTGTTTGGTTGACCGCTTAAATTGGTTGATCTTAAACCAATGACTTGGTCAGTTTCTGACCAATATTTTGGTTAATCTAATCAAAACTCATTTAACCAGCTACTACAACCCCCCATCCATTCTGAGAATGCGTGACTATTGATGGTGATTCTCCTAATTTCTTCCATGACAAACTTACCTTCTGGAAGGTTTACAGACCATGATATACTAAAATCTCTGCTAAGGTGGAACAAAAGAAACAGGCCAGGAAACTGGGGCACCTTCTGGAACAAGGCTCCAGCTGACAGGACACTAGCAACTGCCAGGTGGTTTATCCTTTGATCGAGGAGCTGTAGAGTGAAAAAAAAACTCCAACCATATCCATTGAACTTTAGTTTTCTATCTTTGTCAAACAGCAGTAGGAACATCATAAACAGACAACACCAGTTATTTTAAAAGTACGACTGAAGTTAATGGAAAAAAATAGAGCTCATGACGTAAAAAAAAAAAAATATATATATATATATATATATATATATATATATATATATTGATTTTCCTTGTATCGTTTCCTTTTTGGTAAACAGCTTTATGTGATAGGAGCTCAAAACATGGGCTTACTTTTATATAAATTACCAAATTATAGGAACTATCTGCAAAATATAGATAAAAACGGTTCACTTCATGTTTGCACTGAATATGTGTACTTGGTTAATGGTTGTGAAAATGATTTGCTTGTTTTAGTAAATCAAGGGGTGTATCAAATTTCAATAACCAGTGTACAGGTTTTTATGTTTGTTTTCTTTTATTACTGCTTTATTTCCCTTTAATTAATGTAAAGCACTTTCAATATTCTTTATAAACTAGGAGCCAATTATTTTTTTGTTAATAATTAACAACGTTTTTTGTTTTTGTGGATAATAAGTTTATTCTACTTTGTTGTTTGTTATCTGTTATGATATCATGTTTTTTGGTTATTTAGTCATGTTCCTTTGTTTCTGGTTAGTTATGATTAATTTTGGTGAATTATTTTTTATAAATAGGCTGTCAATTGTAGGACCAGCATGCATCTGGGTGGGCGTATGTTTTTTTTTTTACCAGCGTAAGAGAAGCATGGAGGAAATGTTTGTCCTTCTCTGTTTGCTTGGCTGAGGAGAAATAAACTAGAAAAACTGAAGGAGTTTACCTGGAGCATTTTTTCTTTCACCTGCGTAAATTACTAGTCCATGGTGCATCTGTGGCCTTTGTGGACCTTTTTTTTTTGTGTGCTATTAAAGCTGGGCCACAACACTAACATTTCTACCTGAGCTTTTTGAAAATATCCAATGTATTTTAGTCCAGATCAAATCCTGTCCGTCAACCATTATCAAACTGTTTGGTAGAAAACAATAATGTTGAGGTAGGCTTCTGATTTCATGCTAATAATTTGGAAATTCAGTGAATCAAACAACTAAAATCTAACCCTACAAAATGAAAGTCAACTTCTGCAGTTGAGTTTGGACATAAAAAATTAGTTATCAACACTAAAACATTATCTTAGGGCCACAGTTACAAAGCTTTGTGTTTTGCATTGACATGGTTTAAGTAAGAAAACCACAGTGTTAAATCACTGATCAGATATTCTGATTTTAGATCAACTGCGCACTTCGTAAAGGAAAATTCAATTAGCAGCAAATTTTGTGGGTTAAACGTGATTCTCTTTGTTTAAGTGCAATTACATTTTTCATTGTTACCGTAAAAAATGAAAAAAGGGGACATGTAAAACTATTTCAATCCAGTGTTTGTATACATTTATCATGCGCATTAATTTTTTTGGGTTAAATTAGGGCTTTCAAATATTTGCCTCGAACATTCTTTATACAATTCGATCTTTATTTGTTAAAATGGAGCAGTAACACTCTGAATATACACACAGGCTCATATATGTACATTCATTTAGCTTTTTTAAGAGGTGTAGGTTCTGGAATGTCTTTGAAATTGAGATAAGACCAGGAATTTCTTCAAAACAGGATGCTGGCTGTGGTGTGTTTTATTTGCACTAAAATCTCTCAATGAAAGAGGTAACTTATGATCCTCAGGCTTCTTCACTGATTGTAAATATAATTTAACAGGGGATCCTTTATCAGTGAGGAGATCTTATGGGCTAAAACTATATAAATTACCAGATAAATTCTTGTCATGGTTTTGGTTCTGTTCAAGTTTTTTCTCAGAGTTTTCATTTGTCTTATTTTCATTTTTGTGTTCTAGTATTTTTGATTGTATTTGAGTTCTTAGATATTTCTTGTTTGCTCTCTTGCATCAGTCTCCATTTGCCTAGCTCCCCTCTTGCCTCCTCTGTTCACACCTGCTCCCAATCTGCTAATTTGCCTGGCCTTGTTTCTCTCCCCCATATATCCTCCTCCTGTTTAGTCACTCTTTGCTGGTTTTTCATCATTTCTTTGTCCCCTTCTTGTGAGTATTCCTGGTTCTCAGTTTTTGTGGATTTATGTTTTGGACTTTGCTTCTAATGAACTTTTGGTTAATTAAATCTTCAAGAAAGCACCCCTAATTGTGTGTCTGCATTTGGGTCCCCTCAAACCTCCACTCCCACTTGACAATTATATTTGATCATAACCCAAACCTAAAAAAAAATCACTGGGACTACAGGGTAACCCCAGTGAAATCTATCACCAACAAATAGTGACACTAGCGATGAGCCACCATAGCAGGGACCAGCCTGCCAAGATTATTCCAAATGCACAACAACAATTAAACCATGAGGTCACCAAATTACCAAAGTTGCATTAAAAGCCTAAAAAGAGTACTGCCCACAAATACCTGCTTTCTATTTAGAGATTTTCAAGACTTTTGGAAAGTTTTCTTGGGGTACTTATTTAAATACGTGCTTCTTTTTATATTTGGGGTAAAATATAAAAAATATAAATCCCTTTATTGTCCCACAATGGGAAACTCACTCTCTGCATTTAACCCATCCCCTTGGGGAGCAGTGTGCTGCCATTGGGTGGCGCCCGGGGAGGAGTTGGGGTTAAGGGTCTTGCTCAGGAACCCAGATTGCAGGCTTTGGGGATCGAATTGGGTACTTGCAGCCTGTTTAGAGCACAGACACACTGCTCTAACCACCAGGCCAAAACTCCGAACCGAATTACAGAATTAAAAAGGAAAAATAATCGTGGACAAAGAAAAATATTTTGATGCTAGTATGATGCTTTGCCATGGCTTTGCTGCTTCAGGCCTGGAAATGAATGAAACCATGAATTCTACAGAAGAATAAAATCCAGCAATAACCTCAGATCCTGGGCTCAAGCACATTCTATTATGGATGTATGATCTGTGACATAAATACATCCACCTATCAACTAATAAAAAAAAGCAATATCAAGGTTTCAGAATCCCTGGGTAACATCCAGACGTCTGACTATTTTTAGTCATGTGCCATGACTAAAAATAGTCAGTTTTATCTTAAAAACTGCTCCTTTATTCAAACAAATATGAAAAAGGTGGGCCAAAATTCCTCAAAAAATAATTAATATAAAAGATCGATTTCAAGTTACTGAAATCACTGGTTGGCAGTCGTCCTCACAAACTGTGGGAAAACCACGTTAAATGGTGCAAGATGTTGTTTTTTTCTGCTGAGAGCAAACATAGTATATTTTTATATCATTTGAAAGTTGCATTTTGTATTTACCCAGATAATTGATATCTGGTATCAGCATTTGTTTTATGAACTGAAACCTTTAAATATAGAAGCAAAATAAATAACAAAAAAACATGACAGGCACCTGTCATTGAGCCTATAGTTACAGTATGATGTTGCTATCAGTTTCTGTTAGAGAAGAAAATCATTTATTTATTTTTCATGTATATTTTTTTCACTGTGGGACAAAGAACTCTTAAAATAAAAATAAAGCTCAAAATTAATATGAAACTAATGCTTAAATGGTGTATGCAACACTTTGAAACACTATGAAGCAAAAATAAACCACGAACCAACATTTCATGCAAAGAGTTTATTTATGAATCAGACTGCAGAATCATACAACAGTAGCACAATCGTGTGACTATGGATTATGCTTTTATTTATAGATACAAAGATAAAGGCATGTCTTAAAAGAAAAAGAAAAGAAAATGAATGAGCTCTTCTTTGATTCACTCTAAAAATAGCTTTTAAATACTTGGCATAGTTTTGTAAATGAAGTAATGAAACATGATGTCTTGCCCACCGGTTTCACTATTAAGAGTACCAAATGCAAATATACTTTATGAAAAACATTTTTTTTTCTCCACTCTCTTGCATTCCATGCAAGGAAGAAAAAAAGATGTCAGTGAGTACAAAAAGCACTAAAATCTCATATGAAAATAGAAAATATTACAAGTGTGCATAATTACTTCATGTCTGCACATAACCTGTAGTACAAAAAGTGAAATGACACTATGTTTAAGTGTACCTTTCATGCCAATTGCAAGGGGCTGGGTGCATATGTGGAGAAATCATAAAAATGTTGTTAGGGGCAGTTTTAGTATAAGACCAAGGCCTTTTAGAGTCCAAAATGAATCAAAGATGAATTCTGTTAGTAGATATAGGCGAAACAGCTTGTCCTCCGTGTTAATCTGTCTATAAACATTCAGCCATATCCTTTATCCTGTACTTTTTCATAATTACACTCTCAGTTTTGTTTCGATTTCACAGTTTTGATTCTATGTTCAGGCTAAACAGCATGAGGAGCAGAAAGTACTCACAATGCTACTTTACTGCTCCACCTAGAGGAGCGGCAGGTTTGTGAGTTGTTTTGCAAAAATAAATCATTTTGAAATAAAAGTAACGGTGTGAACAGTGCTTAGTACGTTAATATTTGGCATTTCTCTAGAGCATAATGTAATGCACAGATAATAAGGCGTAATGAGTGGTTCAAATTTACAAGAAATGATCTAAATACCAAGACAAGGTTTTGAGTTGATGCTACAGCTGTAAAATGCTACATAAAAATTAGGCGGTAACGGATGAGCGATAAACGGTCACAACAGTGCAATACTGCTGATGTTGCAAAACCACATAAATGCTATTACAGTCTTGTCAGAATTGGAGTTAAAATCCTCAAAGTGACAGAATCTCTGCCTGTTCGTTTTGCAGATATGCGGCCTAAAGTAGCATATTGCAACCCTGAAGTGCAATAGATGTCGGTGACAGCAGAACATTTCACACAAAGAGAACACGCCGTGTAATG